ACTGTGTAGCTCGGATGGATTTTTGGCTTGTAACCTTGCTCATAGACAAGCTACAGTAATCCAAATAAGATCATTGTGTAGCCTTTGAGTTTTTCTATCGAATCCATTTTAGTGGGTCCGAAAATCTAGAAGCTGAGGGAATTTTTGGGACGGGCAAGTTTTGGGTGCCATTTTGGTCCGTTTTCGGCCCGCCAGGGATTTTGGCTTGTAACTTTGCTCATAGACAAGCTACAGTAGTCCAAATAGGATTATTTTTGAGCTCTGGAGTTTCTCTATCGTACCCTTTTTAGTGGGTCCGAAAATCTAGAAGCTGGGGGAAGTTATGGGCCGGGCCGTTTTCGGCCCGTCAGGGCCCCGTTTTCAAGGTTGTAATTTAGCTATTTTTTCGCCTTTTTTTGGGGTTTTACTATTTTAAAATGGTTTTCTTTTTGGCATTTTAGAGACCATTTTTCACTATGGAATTCGTTTTCCAAAATTTCTTCTCCACTTTTTTTGATCTCCTGGACCACTCACATCATCAGGCTTCTCGACACCAGCCAAATCGGGACAACTTCCGGATCTCTCCAAATCGGTGGTGTTCCCGGCGCCCTCCGTCCCATCGACAACTCCATCAATCTCCAAATTCGTCCTCGAATCGCGTTTGCCGATCGCTTCTGCCGTTTGACAACTATTCTGATCGGTTGTTGATTGTTGTTTCGTCATTTCTTTAAATCGTTTTTTTTTCTTCCACAGATTTTTTGTTCTCCAATAAAATCGAATCAGGCTATTTTGGTTTGTTCTCTCCTTCTTCTTTTGTTTCTTGACTCTTTTTTTTCGAGGCGCTTTTATTCTATTCGATTTGAAAAAGGTACTGAATCAATCGATCGATATCCATTGATGTGGATAAGACAGGTGGCGGAGCCTATTTGACACGAGGAATTTGAAAATTTTGGCGCCAAATATTCATGTTGGCCTCATTAAAGAGACCAGCGAATTTTTCTTAAATTAAGAAAATTCCGAAATTTTCAAAAAATCGGAAAATTCCGAAAAATTCCGAAGATGTCATTTCAGACAATTTCAAATTTTTCAATTTCAAATTTGGCGCCAAATCTCACGTTGGCCTAATTAAAAAAACATGCATGTTTCCAGACTATCACCTAATCACTAATCAACAAACCGCTGAAGCCGTTTGGGTTGTGCTTACCGAGGCTGGAAGACGTGGGAGGATTAGTGAGAACTTGGGAGATGATGTGACAGAGAAGATGAGCAATGTTTTTGAGGTGGGGAATTTTAAGATTCTGGCATTTTTTAGGAATTTCGAAATTTTCTGAAATTCCAAAATTAAAAAAAAAATTCTTCTTGGTTTTCTAGTTTCTTGATCTTCAGAAGCTTTTTCTGATTTTTCCACGAAGTTAACCGTGTTTTTCTCCAAATTTCCGTCATTTTGATACCCATATCGGTCGAATTCGAAAGTTTTCGAAATTTTGACGTCTTCTGAATTCAGAATCCATAAAATTTGGGATATAGGACAATACGGGTATCAAAATGACGGAAATTTCATGAGAAACAGTTTTGACGTCACGAAAATTCATAAAAATGATTCTGGAAAAAGTTAGAAGACGTCAAAGATCCAGAAGACTTCAAAAAGTTAGTTGGAAGATGGGAAAAACCGTTTTCTGGTTTTTTTCACAATGTTATCTGTATTTTGCATGAATTTTCGGTCATTATTATACCCGATTCGATCAAATCAGCGTAATTTTGATTTTTGACGCCTTCTGAATTCAGAATTTACGAAGTTCAGGAATGGTGGCAATATGGGTATCAAAATGACAGGAATTTCATGGAAAATACAGATAACGTTGTGAAAAAACCAGAAAAAGGTGTTTTTCCATCTTCCAACTATCTATTCGAAGTCTTCAGAATATTTGACGTCTTCTAACTTTTTCCAGAACAATTTTCAGAAGTTTTCGTGACGTCAGAGTTGTTTCTTATAAAGTGTTCGTTATTTTGATACCCATATTGTCCTATATCCCAAATTTTATGGATTCTGAATTCAGAAGACGTCAGAATTTCGAAAACTTTAAAATTCGGCCGATATGGCTATCAAAATGATGGAAGTTTCATGAGAAACAGTTTTGACGTCACGAAAATTCATAAAAATGATTCTGGAAAAAGTTAGAAGTTTCTGAAAATCTGAAAAATTCGAAATTTCCGAAAATTGAAAAAAAAAACCAGAATTCGAATAAATTCGAAAATTTCAAAAAGAAATTTTTCGAAAGTTTCAAAAATCAAAATTTCCAGAAAATCCGTTGCCGCCTATGTGCTCAACTCGAGACAATCCAATGGTCCTATGATGAAATCGTCGATTTCGACGTCAAAATTTCGAAAATTCACAAATCGTCGCTTTTCGAAAATCATGGGAATTCTCCGAGAATTGGCGTGGATCTGAAAATAGTTTCAGCCGGAGAAACGGAAGTTAAATCGATTTTTCTAGATTTCAACGAATCGCAATTGGAAGAATTCATTTGGAAACTAAAGGAGGCCAAAGCGATGAGGGAGAGAATTCAGAAGACGTTGGGAAAGACGACGAAGAAATAAATTCTATGATTTTGGATTATTTATTTATTTTTGTACATAAAATTTCCTATTTTCTCAATTCAAACTGTTTGAAATTCTCAAAAAAAAACTAGAATTTTGGATTTTCGGATTGTCGGAGAATTTTCGAAATTATTAATTTTCTGAAGTTTTGCATTTTTTCTGGAATTCTGGAAGTTTAGAGTTTTTGAATGTTTTGTTGGATTCTCAGAAAATGTTTTCTGAAAATTTTGAAATTTCGGAAATTTTGGAGCATTCTTAATTCTTGGATTTTTCGGGTTTTTTTTTTTGGGAAATTTCTGATAATTTTGGTTTTTCAGAGTCTGGAAAGATTGAAATATGGATTTTTTTTTGCTTTTTTCCAGATTTTTTAAATTTGAGAATTTTTAGAAGTTCGAATTTCTGATTTCCAATTTTTAAGACACGTTCTCTGTAGAGCTGAACTTCAGGCCTATTATCCACTGAACAGAAAAATTCGGCCCACGATCCAAGGGTACATCGAAAAAGGGTACATCGAGTTCTTAGGGTACATTGGTTCTGAGGGTACATGGGATCTTAGACTGTAAGGCGTTTTAGCCTAAACCTATAATTTTGAGCAGAAATCAAAATAGTATGTATAAAAATATTGATTCTTCAATTTCTGAATTTTTCGGAAATTGCGAATTTTGTAATTTTAGACAATTGTTGTATTTTTTTCAATTTTTCGAAATTCAAAAAAAAGGAAACTGATTTTCTAATTTCCAGCAAAAAACTGTGAACAAAGCTGAAAAAAAATTTTTTTTTTTCGAATAGTTTAAAAATCAAAAGTTTATTGTACATAACTTACTTTACACAAAAAAAAAAGAAGAAATAGGAAATTTGGAGACATCTTCGAGTTAACATAGCATGAATCACAATAATTTAGGGGTACAATTTTTTCAGGGGAGGGGAAATCATTAAACCGATAATTTAGAAGGCGATACTGTCGAATTCATCCTCTTTTCTGGTGAAGTCCACGACCCATGGGTGGCTCGGATGCTCATGTTTCAGCTGGGACAGGTAGCGTTCAGTGATCTGCAAAGTTCAGAATTCGACGTCTTCTGAATGCCTCCAGAATCATTTTCAGCGAAATTCCCGTCGTTAACAGTGTTTTCTGTTTCTCCCCCGCCATTTTGATACTAACATCGACCCGATTCGATTTTGACGTCTTCTCAATTCAGCATTCGTGAAAATTCGGATATAGAGCAAAATGGGTATCAAAATGACGGGAATTCAACGGGGAACATGTTCCTGTTATTCGTTTTGCTTGAAAATCATCTGAATTCATCTCAAAAGGCGTGAAAATTATTTTTCGAGGAATCTGGGCTCAAAATTTCAGAAATTTCACCTCATCATCCTTCTCGTTGAGTTGAGCAGCGACAAGCGAATTGATGAGCACGTCAGCGTCCTTGTTGTCTCTCTCCAGCGAACTCTGAAAGAATAAATCAATTTTTCGACGTCTTCGAAATCCCGAATTTTCCTTTTTTAGAAGTTTTCCCGTCGCCATATTAGCTTGAAATACGATTTCAGTCGTATTTGAAGGCAAAAACGAGAAAATTCGAGTAAGCTCAAAAATTGACGTCTTCTGAATTCAGAATCTTCAAAATTCCAACCTACAGAAGCATTGTTAGTCGAAAATTGCATTTTGAGCTGGTTTTTCATCAGATTATTGTCATTTTTGAGTGAAAATAATCGAATTTGAAGGTTTTGATAAATCCAATGTCTTCTGAATTCAGAAGACGTCGAATTTCGAATTCAGCAGTTTTTGGCGTCAAAATCTTGGAAACTCGATGAAAAAACAGGTGGACGACGGGAAAAACTGTTTTTTTTTAAAGCAAAAATTGAATTCTGAAGACGTCAATTTTTAAGCGTCTTCTGGATTCTGAATTCACAAAACCCTGGATATAGGGCAATATGGGTATCAAAATGACAGGAATTTCATGGAAAACCTTTCTGACGGCGCGAAAATTTCTGAAAATGATTCTGGAGAAACTTAGACGACGTCAAATCTTTTCCATCTCCACTTGAACGTCTTCAAAATGCCTCCAGAATCATTTTTAGCGAAAATCAAATCGTCAGAACTGTTTTCTGTGTCTTTTCCGTCATTTTGATACCAATATTGACCGAATTCGATACGATTTGAGTTTGGACGTCTTCTGAATTCTGAATTCTGAATCCGCAAAATTTCGGATCTATGGCAATATAAGTATCAAAATGACGGGAATCACATGAAAAACAAGTTCAATCGTCACCAAAACTTCCAAAAAGTCAATTTCCAGCCAAAAATTACCTCCAAAAGCTCCTCGGCAGCTGCGTAATCCTGAGTCAAAACGCTGACAATGGCCTGGTGCATCTCCAGATCCGTCGTTCTACCGTACTTGTCGGCCATTTCGGAGTAGATGTAAAGAGCATCTTTCACTTTTCCAGATGCTCCAAACGAGGCGACCAAGGCATTCGCCAATTGAGACAGCGTCGCGTCCTCATCGATTTGATTCATCTTTTTGACTTCTTGAATCGCCAACTTCCGCTTATTCATCTTGATGAGAGTGAAGACCTTCGAGGCGCGAGCTTCGAGACCGTCGAAGCGGGACACCGCGCGGAAAGCGTCTTCGGTTTGCTGAAAATTGAAGAATTTGACGTCTTCTAGCTTTATAAAAAAATTATTTTCAGAATTTTGTGAAGAGGTTCAAATTCAAATCGTATCGAATATGGTCGATTACGTGTACTAACTTTTTAAATAATAATTTTTAGCAATTGTCACGCCGTCGAAGTTGTTCTTTATCTAATTCCTGTCATTTTGATACCCATATTGCCCTAACTTCTGAATGTTGGTGTATTCTGAATTCAGAAGACGTCGGATTTCTAATTTTGTCGAACATAGGTGAAATTGGTATCAAAATGTCACTAATTCAGAAACAAAGAAAGTTGACGTCGTGAAATTTCGGAAACTATTTCTTCAACCTCGACATTTTGAGATTCAGATTTCAAAAGACGTCAGGATTTCGACATTTTTCGAATTCGGTCAATATGGGTATCAAAATGACGGGAATTTCGAGGGATACACAGCTGACGACGTGAAAATATCTTTAAAAAGCTTCCCGAATTCGAAAATTTGAGGAAAACTATTTTTTCGATTTTTCTCGATTTTTCTGCTAGAAAATTTGAATTTTTTCGAATTTTCCCGTTTTTCCAAGCTCAAATCCCTTACATCCGCCTCATTCAGAATCGCGGCAGCTAGGACTCCGGCGATTTCACTCTTCAGACTTTTCGATGCCACTTCTTCCTTGATTTCCGCCAAAATCTTCTTCTGGGCAGCCGGATTGTTCCGGAATTCCGCGAATTTGCGAACCGCCGCCAAGTCCGCCGATTTCGTCGTCGCTGGGATCTGAATTATTTTTTTTTCGAAAAAACTTTTTTGCGCGAAATTCAAAATTTTCAAACCTCTTTCAACGGAATAAAAGCCTGGCCCTGAGCGATATAGGCTCTATACAGGTAGACGTCCTTCTCCTGCTTCTCCTCCTCGCTTTTTGTTTGGAATTTCTGCAAAAATTGAATTTTTTTTGCGAATTTTTGAATTTTCGGAATTTTTCTCACCAATGCCTCGCCGATACAGGACTGATAGCTTCCCAGAAAGAAGTAGTTTCTGATCGCGAACAATTTATCAGCCATTTTTCGTCGAACAAACGCTAAAAAACGCTAGAAATCCAGGTGAGAATCCGATAAAAAAGGAAGGCGAACCACGTCACTGCGGTGGTGTTTGCGTACCGAAATGTGCGGCAGCCTACGCACATTTGCGGACCGGACGAAAAAAAGGGGGAGAAAAATAATTCATTTTCAACAGAAAAACCGGTAAAATATGACAAAAAAAGCCCGAAAAAACAGCGAAATCTAGCATAAAAATCGTGAAAAGTTCAATTCTTCGGCTTCCGACGCAATCCCGCCGACTTGAATCCCACAAATCGATAGGTGGCGGTGCAATTCTCCTCGAGAGCTGATAAAACCGTTTTTTCCTGGGTTTTTGGTTGTTCCTCGATTTTTCCCTCAATTTTCGGTTCAGATTTGATAAAAGCCGGGCAACGGAATGGATTTTTCGTTTTTGAAGGGCTGAAAAAAGCGGGGAATCAGAAAATTCAATTTTTCAAAAAAAAATTAATTTCTTCAAAAATTACCCATTTTCGGCGGTTTTCCGTGAGAAATACTTGGAAATTCCTGTTTTTTCCGCATATTCAGTGCTGCCCGAGCCTTTTGGAGCCGGTGGAGCCGATGTTTGGTGGGATAAAAGTGGGGATTGGAATTTCTGGAATTTTCTCGATGATTCGGGTGTCGACGTGGATTTCCGGAGGATTGGCGGCGGTTTTAGCTCGTTTTCAGCAGATTTTTCTGGACTTTTTTCAAGAATTTCCACTTTTTTCGCCTTTTCCGGAACTTTTAGCTCAAATAGCTCGGAAAAATCGTCGTCGACCACTTCGAGCACTTTCTGGCGCTTCTTCTCGGGTTCCGCATACTTTTTCAGCACATGTTCAGCGGAATAATCAGATGCGGGGGCGTTTTTCCGCTTCTTCATCGCCTGTTTCTCGTTTTCGATTTCCGCCATGAATTGAGCTACGATATCGTCGGATTCGTCGATTTTATCGATTTTTCCGGGTATTTTCGGACGTTTTTGAACGACGGATGGAGAGTCGAGCTACAAAAAGAGAGACTACAAACTACAATTTCGAATTTTTTAAATTTTAAATTTTCGGAAAAATTTTAAAAATCATTTTTTTTGTTTCAAAATGTCAAAAACATTAGAAACTCTAAAAAATTGGAAATTCCAAAAAAATTTGACAACCCACACTACAAACTACAAAAACTCAATTACCAAAAAAAATTCAAAATGTTCCTTTTCGACAAACTACACACTACAAACTACAATTTTTTCTTATGGGGTTATTCATGTAGCGAAAATATGTATTGAAATGCATTTCCGCGCCCTCGACATTCAATGCATGAGCGTCGCGAAATGTATTTCAAAGCATTTCGCGACATAACTGTAAATGCATTTCAATACATCGCGTGGCGAGATATCTTTTCTGGAAAAAGGGATGCGCCTTTAAACTTTGTGCAGGATGGGGGAAATCTAATTTCGAGGGCGCGGAAATGCATTTCAATACATATTTTCGCTACATGAATAACCCCATTACAAAATTCTGCAACTTTTTTGATTTTTGATATTTTTCTTTGAAAATGTTATTTTTTTAATTCAATTTGATATCAAATTTATGGATTTCACTCGAAATTTCGAATTTTCGGGAAACTTTTTTTTTTCAAAAATTCAAAAATTTGAAAATTCTGTAACTTAAATTAAAAATTTTTTGTCATTTTTGGTTATTCGCCGATATTTGGGCTCAGCTGATTATTTCCAGCCGATTTTTATCAAAATTGATTTTCTTTTAAAAAAATTTCGAAAATTTCGAAAAAAATCGCACTTTTTTTGAGAAAAATAACTGGAAATAAAACAAAAAAATCAGCTGAAAATTAAAAAAAAAAAGTTTTTTTCAAAATTTATTATTTAAAAAAATTTTTCCAAGGATTCGAATACTTCGATTTTATTATCATTTTATAGAGAATTTTTCGCTCATTTCAATTATATAAAATTCATATTTAAACTTTGAGATTTTTACTCAAAAATGTTGAAAAACAATTTGCCTTTTTTCCAATTTTCTTTTTTTTTCACTTTTCCAAAAATCCAAATTTGTCGATTTCAATTTTTTCTGAAAATGCACCTTAAACGCTCCTCCACACTCCATCGCCTCCTCCTCCTTCTTTTTCGCCAATTTCTGCATTTCCTGTCCTTTACTCTCGTACCGTAATCCCCAAATACTCCATTCTGGAATCGGTTGAATCAATAGAAATCGATCATCGATCGAATTTTTCGAATTATTCGATGGATTTCCAAGTGCCAAACGAATCGATGATCGTTGGGTTTCCGCTGTTCCAGCATATTCAAATTTCGTCGAAATTTCAGATTTCGACTCGGCGGGAGACTGAAAAAATTACAAAAAATGTTGACGTCTTCTAACTTTTTTTCAGAAGAGTTTTCAGGAGTTTTGGCATCGTCAACGTCGTTTTTCATGAAATTTCTGTTTTTATCATAAAATTCGAGAGAAAAGCTGAAAATCGCAAAAAATATTTCTGAAAATTCTGAATTTTCAATTTTTCTGAATTTTCTGGCCTTTTGGAATTTCCTTTTTCTAGAATTTTTCAGAATTTTAAAAAGTTTGAATTTCCGATTTTTCGAAAATTATATATTTTCAAAAAAAAAAGATTTTTGAAAATTTTTTTCTAAAAATTTTTACGTCTTCTAACTTTTTCCAGAATCATTTTCAGGACTTTTCATAACGTTAAACTTGTTTTCCATCAAATTCCCGTCATTTTGATACCCATATTGCCCTTGTTGCAGATTTATTGGTATTCTGAATTCAGAAGACGTCAAAACTCGGATTTTTGCGGATTTGGCCAATTGTGGTGTCAAAATTACGGACATTTTGAGGGAAACACGGCTAACGTCGTAAAAAATACAAAAAACAAGGTTTTTTGTCGTCTTCCAACTGTTTTTTGACGTTTTCTAAAATTTTGACGTCTTCTAACTTTTTCCAGAATCATTTCCAGGAGTTTTGGCATCGTCAAAGTTGTTTTCCATTGAATTTCCTTCCTTTTGATACCCATATTGCCCTAGTTTCAAAACTTTGGGTTATTCTGAATCCAGAAGACGTCAAAACTCGAATCCTATCGAATCTATTTGATATGGGTATCAAAATGACGGAAATTTCGAAAGAAACACGGTTAACGTCGTAAAAAAGCAGGAAGAGTTTCTGAAAATCAGAAAATTCAAAAAAACATTTTTGTTTTCGAAAAATTCAACTTTTCCAGGTTTAAAAACACCCATTTTAGACCAATTTTCACACTAAAATCCGTAAAAATGCACCTCAAAATCCAAAATTTCTAATTCATCATCAATATCCATCGCTGGATACGGTGTCAACGGCTTCTGACACCGTTCCCTGGGATCGAACACAATTTGATGCTTAAATGTATTTTCAGCTCGTTCGAATCCCCGAATAAATTCCTCATTCACATGTTCCTTTAATTTCGGATTCTTCAGATACGACGGAATTTTTCTGAGCAATATGCGAAGGTCCTTTATCGATGTGAGCGAGAAGAACTTCACTGCAGTGGCCAGTCCGACGCCGGGGAGTCCAGACTGCAAAATTTCAGATTTTTTGAAAAATTTCAAAATCATCAAATTCTGATAAAAATTGATATCACGGCCTAAAATCGGCTAAAAATAAAAATTCTGAAAGATTTTCTCAAAAAATTCAAAAATTGAAAAAATTTTTTTTTTCGAAAAATCTGAAAATTCCAAAAAAAAATTTTTTTTTAATCGATTTTTTCAAACTTTCACCTGCAAATAATCACATCCCGCTAAAATACAAATGCGTCGGAATTTGACAAAATCGAATTTTTCGCCGCCCAACTCGCCGGAGAAGCATTTTTTGAGGTCCGATTTTTGGTAAACTGAGCAATCTCCAGTCACTGATTGCCACTTGAAATAGATCGTTTCACATCCGAAAACGATTAGATCCGAGTCTTCAGTCACCACAGCGTCCACTAGTTTTGACTGAAAAAATGGGAAAATTTTGAAAAAAATATTTTTTTTGAAAATTTTTTTCTAAAAAATTTTGACGTCTTCTAACTTTTTCCAGAATCATTTTTATGAATTTTCGTGACGTCAAACTTGTTTTCCATCAAATTCCTGTCATTTTGATACCCATATTGCCACCATTCCCGAATTTCGTGAATTCTGAATTCAGAAGACGTCAAAAATCGAAATCACGCTAATTTGATTAGAAATTGGTAAAAAAAATGACCTAGATTTCGTGTAAATGCAGATAACGTTGTTAAGAACCTCGAAAAAGGGTTTTTGACATCTTCCAACCATTTTTTGAAGTCTTCTGAAAATTTGACGTCTTCTAACTTTTTCCAGAATCATTTTCAGAAGTTTTGGTATTGTCAAAGTTGTTTTCTATGAAATTCGCGTCATTTTGATACCCATATTGCCCTAACTTCAGAATTTTGCGAATTCTAAAGTCAGAAGACGTCAAAAATCAAAATTATGCTAATTTGATCGAAATTGGTATCAAAACGACGGAAATTTTGAGAAAAACACAGCTAACATTGTGAAAAAATCAGAAAAAAGCTTCTGAAGATCAAAAATTTGAAAATCTGGAAAAAAAAAACTTTTTTGCGAATTTTTTCCAAAATTTCAGTTAAAAATTTTTCATTTCCAGAACTTTCTAGGGGTAAAAAACTCCCAATTTTTTCAATTTTCAAGTCAAAAACCCCTATTTTCAGTGTTTTCCAGTCGAACCTGCATCAAGTAAGCCAATTGGGCGTCGGCTTCATACGGTGCCACAACCACATCGACATTTCGAATTTTTCGGAAAAAAACGATAGTTTTTTCGACGATTTCCGCTGAAATCGTCGTCGCCAATCGATAATGATCTCGGGCTTCTCGTTCTTTTCCCTTGGCCAGAAGCATTTCAGCATGCTCTTTTCGCTTCTCCCGCATCTCACGACGATCGTCATTTGTGCTCTGGAATTCGGGATTTTTCGAAATTGTTTCGATTTGGCGGGAAATGTGAAAAATTAGCTTTAAAATGGTTTGAAATTCAAGAAAATTGAATAATTGGAAGTGTGGAAAATCTGAAAAATTGAAAAAAAAGACTTTCGGAATTTAAAAAATTTCTGAAAATCACAATTTTCGAGAAAACAAAACTGAAAAAAACATATCAAAAAAATCAACAGGAAATTCGCTATAATTTGATGTTAAATTTGGATTTTTCCGAAGAAATTTTTTTTTTGAAAAAAGAAGTTTTTGAAAAAAAAATTTTTTTCAAAATTACAATTTTTCGGTTTTAGACTCTTTTGATAAAAGTTTTGTCTTAAAACTTCAAGATTTTTTTTTGCAAAATTTAAAACAAAATTGAAAACTTTTGAAAAAAAAAAGTTTTTTCTTAATTTTTCGAAAATTTCCAAAATCCAATTCCTTCAATTTTAGGCTTGTGTTGTATATAATTTTTCGCTGATTTTTATGATATAAAATTCATTTTTTCGAAAAATTTTTTCATTTTTCAGCTTTTTCCACTCTTCCATAAACCAATTTCTTCGATTTTAGTTTTTTTGTTGTCGAAAATATTTCGCGCTCTTTCTATTTATAATACATTCCAGCTAAATTCCACCCGCGTTTCTTTTTTCAAATTCACCTTTTTAGCCGGCAATGGTCTTCCATCGAACACCATGACCACATGGCACTCCATTCCCAGTAATTCTTGAATATATTTGTCGACATAGTTAATATAACTCTGCGTCTCTTCGCCCATATGAATCTTATCCATACATCCAGTCAATCCACGGTGTAGAAGACAACTAACATCGATGGCCACCGACTTCCCGCGGAGTTCTCGAATATTTCCCTGGAAAACTCTCGAAATTCCCGCGAAATTCCATTATTTTAGGGCTTACCTTTCTACAAGCGTTCTTTACAAACGGTAAAAGACCCGTAATTCCCATTTTATCCGGTTAAAAAGTAAGTAAAAGTGAGGAAATTGGCTGAAAATCGCTGAGAAAGCGAATTTTTCAATTCAAATCTCGCGGTGACGAAATTTAACCATAGAGCGCGCTTGCAGTATGGCAGTGAAAAAAAAAGAGGCCCCGCTTAGCACATTTGGATGCGGTCAAAAACCATGCGGCCATACTTGTAAAATTCCGGGCCGGGCCTGAAGAAAATTTCAAGGCCCGGTAGCAAAAACTTTGTCACTTTGAACCGAATTTTGAGCTCTCAATACAATTTTCTATATTTTTTTCTGTGCTTTTTGGATTGTTTGCCTGTTTGATCAAAAAATATTTTTTTAAAAACTCGAAAAAAAATTTTTGATTGAAAAAAATTAGATAAAGGTCCCCCCCTTATGTGTTTTTTGAAAATTTCAAAACATTGTGGAATGACAGGCCCGCCGGGCCTCCGAAATTCGGGAAAAAGCCCGGCCCGTTACAAGTATGCATGCGGCAAAACCGTGCCAGGGTTGCAATTTAGGCTCCGCCCACTTTTCTCCGGAATTTGCGGGGAGTCAAAAAAAAAGATTAAAAAAAAGATAAAAAAGTGTTTATAAAAGGGATAAAAGAACTGAAAATCGTGAAATTGTTTGAGTAGTTTGGCGCCAGAGTAGTAGAAAATGAAGGGAAAAAACGAAAATCGGTGTAAAATTGGGGAAAAATCTACTAAAACAGAAGAATAAGGATTTTTTTGGGAAGGATTATGTATATTTTTCTTTTTCTTATCATTCCAAATCACTATCCGGGTCTTCGACGTAGACTCTTGGAAGTGGTTGTTTGCTGATCGCACGACGATGGTCCAGAATACGAAGAGCTTCGGTTTCGAGGGCCGAGGACTGAAAAATCGGAAATTGGAGATTTTCAGGGGAAAAATCGTAAATTCAATGAGAAAACCCTTCGAAATCTATATAAAATCTCAAAAAAATCTCATAAAATTCGAGAGAAAAGCTGAAAATCGCAAAAAATATTTCTGAAAATTCTGAATTTTCAATTTTACTGAATTTTCTGGCCTTTTGGAATTTCTATTTCTAGAATTTTTCAGAATTTTAAAAAGTTTGAATTTCCGATTTTTCGAAAATTATATATTTTCAAAAAAAAAAGATTTTTGAAATTTTTTTTTTCTAAAAATTTTTACGTCTTCTAACTTTTTCCAGAATCATTTTCAGGACTTTTCATTACGTTAAAATTGTTTTCCATCAAATTCCCGTCATTTTGATACCCATATTGCCCTTGTTGCAGATTTATTGGTATTATGAATTCAGAAGACGTCAAAACTCGGATTTTTGCAGATTTGGTCGATTGTGGTGTCAAAATTACGGACATTTTGAAGGAAACACGGCTAACGTCGTAAAAAATACGAAAAACAAGGGTTTTTGTCGTCTTCCAACTGTTTTTTGACGTCTTCTAACTTTTTCCAGAACCATTTTCAGAAGTTTTGGTATTGTCAAAGTTGTTTTCCATTGAATTTCCTTCCTTTTGATACCCATATTGCCCTAGTTTCAAAACTTTGGGTTATTCTGAATCCAGAAGACGTCAAAACTCGAATCCTATTGGATTCAGTCGATATGGGTATCAAAATGACGGAAATTCTGAGCAAAACACGTCTAACATCGTGAAAAAATCAGAAAACGCTTCTGAAGATCAAAAAATTCGATTTTCAAAATTCGCGATTTTTCAGATAATTTTTGAACAATTTATCAACGGAGCGTGTTTCCAATAAAATTCAAAAAAGGACCTAATTCTCAATAGAGCACCATTGCATAAAAAAAAGAAACACATACCTGTTGACTCAAATTTCTCAAATTGTTGACAGTGGCGTATTGCATATTGCACAGATCCGAAATATAAGCTTCATGATTCAAATTTCTCTTCTGAAGGTCCCGTCTCAACATGGACACCTCTTCTGCACGGACCTTATTAATATGAGCTTCAGCTGTCAATTGTCCACTGGCCTCAGCCATTTGCTCCGTGAGCACATCGAATTCCGAACGGAGCTCATTGAATTGTCTCTCCGCTTTCATTCGGAGTTTTCTCTCTTCCAGAAGATCTTCTTCCAGCTCCTCGATTCTCGAAATACAACGACGGAGCATTGCTTGAAGCTTCGAGATTAGATTTGCGTCTCCTTGAGCTTTGAGTTTCAGCTCTCCGATTTCAGATTCGCGTCTGGAAATAAAGCATTGTCTTGGTTCCGAAAAATGATCTTACCTCTTACAATCCACATCGTTCTCGTGTTTCTCCTTGAGTGCCAATGTCAATTGAGTCTGCGTAGCCTTCAGCGAAGCCTCCAACTTTTTGTTGTCTGAAAAAATTAACCAATGGCCTAGGATTCATTTTCTAGGCCACACTCACGCTTTACATGCTCATTGTTGGCTCGTTTCTCGGCTGCCAATTTATCATCCATGGCGTCCAGATCCTCGACCAACTTCTTTTTCTGTTCCTCGGCACGTTCGGCTTTGTTCTTCAATAAGGCAACTTCGTCGACGAGCTCCGCGTTCATTTGCTCCTGAAAAATCGAAATTCAAGTTTTTCTCAAAAGAGCGCATTTTCTAAACATTTCAAAAAAAGAGTCAAAATTAAACTCATCTTAAACGACACTATATTTCAAGATCGAAGCTCAAAAAATCATCAAGCTATCATTAAAACTAACGAACTTATGACAATTTGTATGTTTTTTCTCAATGGAGCGCGTTTTCCTAAATTTCTGAAAGTCGCATGAATATATGGCTTGTTTATACTCATTTTGAAGCTCTCAATGAGGTGAATTCAAATATTTGGTTTTTTTTCTAGGTTTGGACCAAAATATAAGCATGTATGACGAATTTTATTTTTATCAATAAAGCGCACTTTCCAAAAACTGTTAAAACTAATTGAAACTAGGGTCATTTTGAAGAGCCTCAAATTTCAAGGCGCATTCCTCAAAAACTAACAAGCTAGCACTAAAACTAACCAAGTTATGACGATTTTTCGCTTTTTCTCAACAGAGCGCACTTTCCATGAGTTTTCAAATTTGCACAAACACAAACTTGTTTATACTTATTTTGAAGCTCTCAACAAGACAAATTCAAATGTTTGGTTAATTTTTTGTTTCCTGCATACCTGAGCCTTTCTTTGCGCCGACAACTTATCATAATCGGTTTGCATCGACGCAATTTGATCCTTCAACTTCTCAGTTTGAGTTTTATGCTGATTCGTTTCGTTCTCAGCTTCCATTTGCATTCTTCTCTCCTTCTCATCCCACTCTTTTCTCTCTTTCTCTCTCAATTTCTCCAATTCCGCCGCCTTCTTCGCGTTCTCATAGTTCGACTCGGACTCGGCTTTCAGATTTCTGTTCAGCTCCTCAATTTCCTTGTTTCGCTTATCCAGAAGCATACGATCACGCTCCAACGCCGCCTTTGTCTCCTCGTATTGATCGATTTTCGCTCTGAAAATCACAAATCTCCGATTTTACAGGCAAATTTTGATTTTTTTGCAAATTTCTCACCCGTATTTGTTACCAGCTCATCAAGCCGGTTCGAATGAGTATACTGATGACCTATATTTATCTAATTTGTTTTTAAGCTAGCTTTAAGCTAGCTACAGTATCCCAAAATCTAAAATTGAGAAAACTAGGTCATGAGTATACTCATTTGAAAGCTCTCAACGTGCTAATTACGCATATAATATTTATTTTATCTAAAAATCTGACCCTTTTCTGATAGTCTCAAAAAACTGTCTCACTAACCTCAACTCATCGGCATATTTCTTTCTGGCCTCCTCCTCTCTCTTGTGATTCTCCTCCAGTTCCTTGCATTTCTTCTCCAAAGCTTCGATTTCTGCGTTCGACTTCATTCCCTTGAGCATCGGCTTGAGACGAGAGAACAGACGGTACCAGGGCCAAGAGCTGAAAAAATTGATAATATACTTTTCAGCTTTCAAATTGCTATAACTTTGCTAGTTTTTGCTCAATTTTAGAAATTTAAATTGTATAATATAGGAAATTTTTTCAGCTTTAATTTGATGTTAAATTTGTAGAATTCTGACCAAAATTAGCTAGACTGTGGTTGTTAGAAATAGGGATAAGCGGCGCGCAACAGAAGGAGGAGCACGACTTTCAAACCGCTATAACTTTGTCAATTTTTGTTCAATTTCGAAAATTAAAATTGCAAAAGATGGAAAAAGTTTTGAGCTTTAAAATAATATAAATTTCGTGTAATTTGGGTCTAACTTGACTGAACAGTGACTGTTAATCCTAGGCGAAGGTGCTTGTTCTCGACAACAGGAGGGTACATCTTTCGAACTATTGTAACTTGGTCCATTTTTGTTTAATTTCAGATATTTAAATTGCAGATGATAGAAAATTTTCTAAGCTTTAATATATTATTAAGTTAATAAAAATCGGATCCAAATCAGCTAGACTGTCGCTGTTAGAATTAAGGATGAGTGTCGCCCGACAGGTTACAACTTTAAAATTACTGTAACTTTGCCCATTTTTGTTCAATTTTAAAGATTCAAATTGTAGTCTATAGGAAATTTTCTGAGATTTGATTTGATCTTAAATTTATGTGATTCTCACAAAAATTGGACACCTACCGTAGCTTAATCCAAGCTCTCACGTTCTCCTGGATAATCGGATAGGCGTCTTCGCGATCGAGCCGTCGTTTGTATTCGACCTGGAAAAGTTCAAATTTCAAAATTTCAAAAAAAGTTTTTTTTTTAAACCAAAAAATCAATAAAGATGGGCTGTCAAGAGTGTAGGTGGATTTTCGAAGGATCTCTCTTGGTTTGGAGAAAAACCCGTGTGCAAACAAATTTTCGAAAGATTGAGAGAGAGTACTGTACTTTGAGAGACGCAGAGTTCTCGGAGCCACTTGGCACAAAGGCGATAAAAAACTATCGATAGATAGAGTATAGACTAAGGAGGGGGGGGGGGGGACGAAAAACCCAGAAAAATCCAAATTTGAATTTTCGGAATCAGTAAATTTGCTCCATCGAACAATTGACATGTTTTTTGTTCACCTGAGCAAGATAATGACGGGCGGAGCACTGGAACTTGAGGATGACAGCCGACAGAGCCTCGTCACGAAGTTCTTCCAGACGAGCCAGCATGCCGGCTTTGAAGAATATCTGAAAATTTGAAATTTTTGAATACATTTTGTTAGATTAAAAAAATTTTTTTTGAAATTTTTCAAAAAAATCTTAAAGGTGGTGTGCGGTGAAAAATTTTATTGCTTTATTTTGTGCAGAATTCCATGTAGATTCCCATAAAAATAAAGAAAAAATTCAAAAAAAAATTCCTTGATTGAGAAAAACGGCATCGAAAAGTCAAAGTGGGAACCGGTGGCCTAGCGGCCAGGTGTGAGTTTTCTAGGCCAACAAGGCCAAAAGCGCGCGAAATTTGAATTTTTATTGATTTTCAGTGTTTTCT